TTTTTAAATTAACCAACAATAATAAGATACCAATAGTTCTTAGGAAAGATTGGGGTCTGCTTCCCATTTCCCCAGTTCTATGTTGGATTTCCAGCTGGTTGAATTTGAATGGGTCTTGTTCCTGTAAGACTGTTTCCTTATGGCCATGCACCTACTCCCCTGGCTCTTACAATCTTTCTTCCCCCTTTTCTGCAATGGTCCCTGAGCTCTGGGTGGGTGAAGTTTAATATAGGAGCCCTGTCCAGGGACCCACACTCTGCAGACTATTATTCTCTACACTTTGGCCACTTGTGTTCATCGCCCTCTGTTGCATGCGGGAGCTTCACTGGTGAGAGTTGAGAGATGCTTTTAGTGTTCTCTCTACCCCTTGTTCCACTATGTTCTGTGAGCCTTAGGCATAGAGGTTCCAATTTAGACGTGTCACTTAGAGCTGGGCATCTCACAGACACTTATTCTCTCTGTGTGACCAGTTATGGAACTCTGTAATAATCTCTGTTTGTTGCAAAACAAAGCTTCTTTGATCTTCTTTAAGGGAGAGACTCTAGATAGGCTGACTAGACCCCAGTGAATGAATTTGCACTTAGGGACACCTGGGTACACTAACTTGATTAGATAGGCCTTACCATATATGACAGAATGCATGCTACAACGGGGTGTGGATGGGTGAGGAGGTATAAAGATGATTAAGATGTTTTATATGAAATGCACAAAAATTCAATACAAAATATACATAAAAAACCAACCAACCAGCAACCAACTACAACAAAAAATAAGACAAAAAATACTCCAAATAGTAAATAAAATAAAATACTTCATTGACTACAAATGGCCATAGTCACAGGGGGCTGGGGACCATCAGCCTGGTTGATGTTTATGATGACCCAAGCCATGCAGAGGATATTTTTTTCTTGGCAGGTTAGGATTCCAGCATCTCCCATCTGCTACTTTTATTTCTTTAAGCCACACTTTGTTCTTGACTATTTTAATTTTAAACATGATACTCCTGTTACAAGCCTGGAGGACAACCTATGACAACCAGCCTTTCGGTTTTAAACAAGTGACTTTATTAAGTATTTAGCAAGCAAATGTACAAGAACAAATAAATAGCAAGCAGCAGATTAATACCAGAGCATCAACTCGAACACCTCCAACATCCAGCAGGAGTGGATGGGGAAGCCCTGCTAAAACAGCCCAGCTGGAGTTTCCCATTGAGTATGAGAGTTCCAGGCAGAGTGAACTCTCTGTGGATGAAGCTCCTAGCTTCCAATTCCCACCACAGGCACTGTTATACCATGGAATACCAATAGTAACCTGGGTTGGAAGTGGACAATTTACTAATATAACTTATATTACCCATGTAAATGTTATATCAGATGAAAAAAAAAAACAAAACCCGACTAGGAGCCAGATCATGATGCAGGGATTTCTTCTTTAATGGCTTTGCTAACTCTCTCTCTCTCTCTCTCTCTCT